AAAAAAAAAACTTTTATTTAGTGGATATAAACAGTACCTGAAACACATATACATCTATAATGGCTCAATGCATATAATTTTAAAACCAACCCCAAAACATATCATAACCAAATTTACTCGATACATATGTCAAAAAGATTTATTTAATTAATTCGTATTTTTGACCGGAAATATAAGATATTGTTTTTTTTTTTTTAATGACAATCTTAATTAGCTTCCAAATTAGGTGAAAAAGATAAAAGTACTAAAGCATTGCATATGTATGAGGTTTGGACGTTGCGCATCCTTTTTTTTTGTTTGTATTAACCTCTTGATATATGATAATTATATTATATCTTGATTAATTTAAAATTAAGTCACGTCGGACCCCATTTGGGGGAAGTTCTCCTAACACTTATTTCTCCGTTCATAAGATTCAAACTCGAGATCTTATTTAAAGTGAATCGAGTTTTTTTTACTCGGATCAACAGGTCACTGGTAACATTGCGCATCATAAAACTATCAACAAATGACATTTTTTAGCTTCATGTTAAGCCCATATATTGTATAGCTCAATAATGTACGATATGAATTTGTTTTGATTGATAAGGCAATTTATTAAGGAGTTAGAAAAATAGTTTATCTTCAATTACAAAAGATTTTCAAAAAACTTAAAATAAGATACAATTATCAATTAAGAGTCAAGTTTATTTACATATATATGAATAAATAGTCTCATATAATTTATAAAAGTTAATTTTCAAATTTAATTGTTAAAATGATGGTGTTATATTTTAGAATGATAGAAATCTTATTCAATTATTGAGAATGACCTGCCTATATCATGTACCAAATGGAAAAGGATATTTGGATGAACGGTCTCCGTAAACCAAAGTAGCTGATGTTGGGACGTAAAAAACAAAAAAAAGGGTAGGATTTAGGCACATGAGAGTCGTGGATGAAGACGTTTTTCTACTACGTACCGGCAAATTAAATATCGGTCGATGCAGGTACGATTGCTTGTCCTTGCCTACCATATTGCTTTAATGCTATGGCTACTACGGTTGTACATTTGTTTTTTTTTTGGGCAAGGCTGAATTCATTAAAATCATGAGGTTTTTAAATAAAAAATTTTATTTTTAAATTTTGAGTCAAGTAATTGAAAATTTAAAGAAAAGAAAGTGTTATTATTTTTTTGTATAAATAATCATGAGATACTAAAAAAAATCATTGTATATTCTTGTGATAAAAATTTTAAATTTACTTCTTAAATAGAAAAATAGAGATAGATTTATTTTTTTAAAAATATAAAAATAAATTACTCTTTTAAATAATTTATCAAGACAAATTTTTTATTATTTAAAATATAATATCATTATATGTCAACTTTCTATATTAACTTTTTGTTAAAAAAATATTTAAACGATAAATAAATTTTTGACATATGATAATGTTATAGGTTAAATAATATATAATTTATCTTGACTAATAATTTAGATGGGTAATTTATCTTTATTTTTTTGTTGAAATATGAATTTATTTCTACCTCCCTGTTTTAAGAATGAATTTGGAGGTTGTGCCCATTTTCTACATATGGTTACGTTGTTGCTTATATAAGCAAAATTCATTCCATTCCTAATAATTCATCTTCATTATATCGGTACAATTACATTACCAATTAAATATATTTATTAAATTTTCGATTCCCTATAGGTCAAAGTCGTATATTGGAAATTTGGAATGGCTTGTGCTCGAGTCTGCTTTTCTAATTAAAAAAATTAAAGTGCATGAACAAGGACACCAACTATGACCTTTTTCAAATTAAGACACCAGCTACAATAGATTTTCAAAAAAGAACAAATGGAAAAAAAATTAACACGTGTCATTACATATCTTTTAAAATACTATATTCGATTTGGGAAAAACACAATGAAGTAGAGAGATAAATGAAACATAGTGCAATTAAATTGCATTTATTCAAAAGTTTACTAGGTAATTATTTGCATCTTTTGACAATTTGAAATAAATGTTGGTTTTACTTTTTATTATTCTAATAATGGATTACAAGAATTATTTAAATCCTGGTATCAATTCAAAACAAATTAATTATAAGATGAATTGAATTGAGTTAATATTCACTAAATATTTTATATGAAATAATGTATTATTGAATAGAAAGTTGGGAGGGGTCTAGAAGGGAAATTAAAGAACTATTAGTTAGAAGTTAGCAACAAGGCCAATCCAAGATGTAAGCAACATTATCTCTTTGGAGGAACAAAAGCCGAAGACAATCATGGGATGTGTTATGGTTTGCTGTTGTTTGCCTTTGTGACTGCAGAGGAATGGATTAGTTTTTAAGGATGAAGCTGCTGGAGAAACAGAGTTTTTGAGATGGTGCAGTTAAGATCATGTCAATGTGGATAAGAGAGGTAGAGTGAAATTTGCTCCTTTTCCTTCACTGAATGGCAACTAAACCTTATGTTTTTGGGTTGAGAGATAGAGGGTGGGGAAGAGAGAGAAGATGAATCATATATATTTTTTATATTCCTTTATTACCTTCTCCTCCTTATATATATATATATTTATAAATAATTAAATTAAAAAAAGAGTGTTGGGAGTTTTTCTCCTTTCTTTCCCTCTATTTCCCTAAACCTAAATATATTGTAAATCTAAGAGGATGTATTAAAACTTCATTGACATAAGCTGGTAAATGACTTTGTATTGGTTTTATCATGATTCCATGGGTGTCTTGATTAAAGGTACTACATGTTATTATTTGTAATAGTGAGTTTGACAATTTTTTGTAGTTCATTAATTAATAATTTCTGGGGTTTTTTTTTTTTTTTAAAAAAAAACAAAGGGTCAATTAGATGATGATGGATATAGAATATTGTTGACAGAAGGACCACTTATTAAGTTGCCCATGTGATTGAGACTATACGAGGGAAAAATTAACAAACATGTGATTTGGTTTACATGAATAACAGGCATTCACATTGATAAGCGCTCAGAGTACACAGAGGTGAAAGGTGGAGTTATTCGGTCCATACATGTGAAAGGAGGGCAGAAGTATCCATGGCTGCCGAATTTGAATGGTCTTGGATGAAGCCACCTACATGTAATAAGAACAAAAATGTATGGATTTGATTGGCTATTTTTTAGTTTTATTTTGGGTAATCTACTCTTGTAGACACTAAACTTAAACATAACTTTCATTTTAATCACTTATCTTTCAAATTTATAAATTTAGTCACTAAACTTAGTTTTAAAGTGAAACCATTGGTCATTAACCGTTACCTCCCTTATTCCGTTAACTTCTTTTATGGCGTGGAACCATGTAGACTCCACATAGTCCAATAGAATTACTTTTCGAACAATAAACTTTAAATGCTTTTACAAGTAAGTCCAAAGTCAAGTCCATCAACAACTAAATTTAATGAAATGAGCCCTAATATGCATTAAAACACAATTTTTTATGGTACGTGTTAAAAAACAATTTATAAAATCAATATATTAAGTTTTATAATTTAACTTGAGGAAAAATTCATTTACATATAAATCTTATATATTATATTTATACAAAATTTTAATCATTCATCTTTTCACTTTCAATTATTGAGATTTATTTATATTTATTAAAGGTAATTATTTTTTAATATAAAAAGTCACAATAAATCTCAACAATTAAAAATGAAAAAAATGAATAGTTGAGATTTTGTGTAAGTGTAGTGCGTAAAACTTGTGTGTAAATGGATTTCTCATAATTTAATTCACATTATAACCCTTGTAACTATTTAATCAAGATTAGAACCTTAATTTCATTACTTTTATTTCAATTTGGATGGTTATGGTGTCTTTCAAGATAGGTTGTATGCAACTACAGACTAATCAAAATTAAAATCCTAATTTCATTATTAAAATTATGCGGAACCCACTTTCCATTTTCAAGGAAAAGAAAATTCATCAATCTTTTGCAGTGCATTTAATGGTTATTAAGAAATGTAATAATTATTTAGCTTTTCATGACCAAATTATGAGTATATATTCACACGGTTATAATTAATTAAATATTATATCATATTGCAACATAATATATCATTATATTACTCGTTGTGTTTAAAATAACTACTTGTTTTTTTTTTCTTAATGAAAATAACTGCTTATGTAGTTATGTCACGTGACATTTTAATTATATAATTGGCTTTTTAACTTATGGATTTACTTGTTAGAATATATGCGTTTACGCATTTAATGACGTAATAGTCATTTAATACTATGTTATGATTGTAAACTTACAATTCTACATGGTGTTATAATTATAGCACTGCTATTAGTTTTTTTTAAATTAATTAATAATAAAATTTAAGATTTTAGTCTTGTTCAATTAATACATTAAGTTTATAATATTAATTAAGAAAACCAAAAAAATTAATATATTGGTTTTGATAAATTGTATTCTAACCTATATAGGGCTCATTTCACTAAATTTAATTATTGAGGAAATTGATTTAGGACTTAATTGAATATAACTAAAAATTTATTGGTTAAAAGGTGATTATCTGGACCACGTGGGGTGTATACAACGCCAAGTCATTAAAATATTTAACGGAAAAAAGGTAGTTAATAGCCGCCGACTGACGGTTGCACTCTAAAATTAAGTTGAGTGGTTAAATTTATAAATTTAAATGATAAGTGATTAAAATGAAAATTATAATTAACTTTAGTAGCCACATGTGTAGTTGATCCTTTAATTTTTGGTATTAAACGTATATACCAATTGTCAGGGGTTAGCAATTAAACTATACCGGCTGCAGACATAGATTAGATAATAGTTGCAGGGATTTTACGTCTTTAACATGAATCAGAAGTATTCGTCGTATAAGAAATGGAAAGGTTGTTACCTCACCCATGCATGTGCGCCCTGTTATGTACCTTGGCGTGATATTAAGGCATGTTATGATTTTTTATTGTTATTTTTTTTATTTGGATAGTTAGGGTGTGTCTTCTTAACTATCACACATCTCGTGAATAGTTTATCATTTTCTAGGTAATTTAAATAGTACACATTTTATGTTGATTTGGTTATTCAATAAAATTAATTTTTTAAATGGTAGTTTTAAAAATTTAAACTCTAAATTTAATTTACATGACAACACCTACTTGTAATTAAATTCAATTTTGGGTTTTTTAAGACTTGTTATAATACATCTATATAGATCAAGCATGATATTAAGGCATATATAGTTGTGAATTACATAGTCACTTTTCCTAAACACCTTTTTGGGTCTTTCCCTTTCGCACTCCTGGGTAACAAAATGAATCCATTGCCACCCAGTGAGTGGTAAACTATATATTGATAAAGAGATTTTGTTCTTTCACTTTACCATACATTCAATATCAAACAAATGAGGAAGCGCTCCCTCCAGGATGTTTCTTGATCTTATTGATGCACGTTTTCCACTACTCACATTTTTTCTTTTGTCTCCTCACCTTGAGGGTAATTGTCTAATTGATGTTACTTGGTCCATGTCTCCCCACGAGATTGGCGTCTTGTGGATGGTCATAAAAAGGAGGCAGCAAATTGATGAGGAAAAATCATGTTATTTGTTCCCCTTAACTATTTGTGTTTGTATGTATGATGAGGAAATTCATTCAGGGGTCCGGTTCATTGACTTAATTAGCATCTTTGTAGAATCCAAAGAATAAAAATAGAAAAGATGCCGATCTTGTTTGATTCTCTTCTCACAAGCTGTCATATGAAGATTTTCCATTTTTATGTAAGGTTGAATGCTAAATTGAGACATGTCATACCTATCAATTAAAA